ACCAGCCGACTCCATTTTTAACAAGCTCTCCACCATCTAATGCTTCCCACAGATGGCGTGGCATCCTAGCAGGACGGAGAGTTTTAATAAAAGGTGTCGGCTGATTAGTAGGCAATAGCGAGTCAATTAAAGTATGGGAAGACACCTGGCTCTCGACATCGGAGCCCCTCAAACCTATTGGCCCAGTCCCGCAACATCTCATAAATCTCAGAGTCTCCGACCTTCTAAATACGACAACGATGTCCTGGAATTGAAAGCTAGTCAGAGCACACCTTCCTCTTTATGAGGATCAGATACGCAAGTTAGTACTGGGTTTCACTAAGCACACGAATTATGATACGTTCTTGAAGTGAAAAACATATCTTTCTTGATGCCAAAGTATGTATGTGATGAGATTTACACTAGCTAATAGTCTATTTATAAAGGAGACTTCTTCTCACTATCTCTCTAACTTCTCCAACGACTTCTTCTTATCCATTATATTCTGCCAATTATGAATGCTTCCAAGGGCTTATCAGATTCATTGGTATGGCTACATACAAAAAATGGTGCGTACACAACAATAAGTGGTTACGGTCTGAAAGCCAAAGAGGTGACGTCTTCTCAATACCAGAGCTTTGATTGGCAAAAGAACCTTTGGAAACTCTGAACCCAACCTAAGATCAAAACATTCCTTTGGAAAGCGACTGTCGGGGTTTTACCGGTAGGAGAACAGTTGACAAGACATGGAATCGGAGGGTCGACTAACTGTATTCGTTGTGGTAATATCGAAACTGTGGAACATGTTTTGTTGCATTGCACCTGGGCAAAAAAGATTTGGGACATAGCTCCAATATCGCCTCTACGCTGGACGACGAACATGTCAATCTTGGAATTTCTAGCTGAAGCTCGACGTGCCCCTGTTCTGCCACCTACAGGAATCTCGAATGCCACTCTTGCAGCTTGGATTTGCTGGAATATTTGGACTGCTCGTGTTGAGGATTCAACCTAGTTTATTGATTCCGATCGCCGCAATAGTACTCCGATTGTAAGATTCTCTCCAATTTGTAA